CAGGACAGAGAGGAGTCTAGAACATGTACCACTAGAAAATGAAACCACTATCTTGACTTAAGTACTTCCTGGTTTTCCACAAGTTGATATGACCTCAGGCTACGCTTTCTCCTCAGAGTGTGCTACAGTTGTCAGAATCTCTTCATCTTGGCCGTGGCTCAAGAGTTGAGGACATTGCTATATTACTGAGTACATAGAAACTCAAGAGCTGACTTGTGGCAACTTGACAGCAAGTAGGTGATAGGAAACAGAGTGTCAGGCAGTACAGCAGGAATAGCACACTACAGGAAACAGCTGGTGACTTACATAGACAATTCCCACTTCCATGCTTCCTGTTAAAATTTCTCAGCTTTGTGCTCTTACAAAAGCAATACTCATTCAGTGACAACTGTTTCTCAGATTTTGAATTTTTATTGTTTCCTGAACTAGTGATATATAGTAATGGCAACATAATGGAAAGGCAAACATTTTTGCTCTACATTCAACAATTCAGATTACCTCCGACACCAGATATTTGTAGGGTTTACACACAGTTCTTTAGCAGATACCTCCTGGGCATTCTCCTGTTCAATTCTGATTCTGTCCCTCTTGCCACCAAATGCTAGTTGCAAGCTCAAAATTATTTCACCTGGGCTTTTCACTGACTAAGCTACTGTATTGGGTCCTATATTTTGATTCTTGTTTTTAATTTTATTATATTTACTCTCTTTTATAGTTAAGTGATTTTCTCTGGTAAGGTGTGTTGATTTGATTTTTTTTCATAAGACTATTAGAGATTTTTGTTTTGTGAAACTATCTTTTGGCTGTAACTGATTGTTTTTAGGAATAACAGCATGGCATTGGCTGCACTGAGGAAATCAAAATACTAATAAAGAACTCTGTCGTTGCTCTCTATTCCTATTAAGTTGCCATTTGGAACCCCTGCATCCCAAATTGAAATAAGCCTTTTAAAAAAAGGCTTGATTTTTATTTATTTAAAAGGCAGAGTTATAGAGAGGTAAGGAGAGACACACACACAGAGTGATAGGGAGGGAGATACAGAGAATGAAGGAGGTCTTCCATCCTCTGGTTCACTCCCCAAATTGCCACAGTATTGGCACTGGTCCTTTCAGAACACAGTAGCCCAGAGCTGCTTCTGTGTCTGCCATGTGGGTGCAGAGGCCCAACTGTTTTCCCAGTTTCATTAACAGGGAACTGAGTCAGAAATGAAGTTGCCGGGTCTTGAACCCATGCCTATGTGTCACCTATAGCTAATTTGCTGTGCCTCAATGCCAGTTGCTTTACTCCTGATTCAGCTCCCTGCTGATGCATCTGGAGAACAGTGAATGATGTCTGAAATACTTGGTTTCTGCTGTCCACCCTGGGAGATTCTTAATCACCTGACCCAACCCCAGCTGTTGCAGCTATTGAAAGGCAGATTTGCAGAGAGGAGAGAGGAATTTTCCATTCACTGGTTCACACCTTAGCTGCAATGGCCAGAGCTGAGCTGATCTGTAGCCATGAGCCCCCTGTCGCGCTCTCGTTTGGTGCAGGGTCCCAAGGGGTTTGGGCCATTCTCCAGGCCACTAACAGGGAGCTAGATCAGAATAGGAACAGCTGGGACATGAACCAGCAATCATATGGGAAGTGGTACCACAGGCAGAGAATTAGCTTACTGTGCCACTACACCGGCCCTCACAGGTCTTTTTTTTTTTTTAAAAAGTAAATAAATAAGAGTACATTTTAGTTTGTCTATATAGTTAGTATTAACCAGTGAATTTTCTGCCTTCTGATAGTAGCATCTGTTTCATTCAGTTTGAAGAATTCTTTTGGTAACTTTATTATTATCTTGAGATATATTTATTTGAAAGGCAGAGTGACAGAGATTTTTGCATCCTCTTGTTCACTGCCCAAATGGCCACAGTAGCTCCTACCTGCACCTGGCCAAAGCCAGGAACTAGGATCTTCAGCTGGGTCTTAGCACAGGTGGCAGGGGCCTAAGTATTGGGCCAGAATTGTGTGTTGCCAGGTACTTTAGCAGGGAAGCTGAATCAGAAATAAAGCAGCAGGATCTCAAACCGGTTTCTGATATGGGTTGCCAGCAACACAGGCAGTGGCTTGATGCATTAAGCCTCGGTGACCCTCTTAGTATTTTTTCGAAGATCTGATGTTAATACATTCTGCTTGTCTGACTATATCTTTATCTCCCTTTATCTCAAAAATAATCTTTCTGGGGGCAGTATTCCTTGTTCGCATGTTTGGTTTTTTTTTTCCTTCAGTGCCTTGAAGTATGAATCCATTCACTCCTGACCTGTAAGGTTCTGCAAAGAAGTCTGTAGTCAAGCAAGAATACTTTTATGTGTGGTTTCTATTCTTTAGCAGCTTGGAGAATCTTCCAGGCTTTGATTGTAGCTTATCTGTGGTAGACTTGGTTGTAACTCTCCTTCCACCCATTGGAAGAACTGACAGACCACCACCATGCCGAGATTCCACCTTGGCAGCACCTGGGCAGCACATGCCATTTGCATCTCAAAGGAAAGGACTCAAGTTATTGTCATATTCCCGCACCCTTTAACAGATGTGCAACTGTTGCTATTTGTATTAGTTTCTTGTCCTTTTAAGAAATTTGTTTCATTTGCAAAGGTCTTCCATTTGTCTGTTCAGTTCCAAATGCGTTGTTCCAGATAGCTTAAAACCTAGAGCCTATTATAAGATTTATTTATTTTTATTGCCAAGTCAGATATACAGAGATGAAGAGAGACAGAGAGGAAGATCTTCTATCTGATGAGTCATTTCTCAAGCGGCCACAAAGGCCAGAGCTGTACCGACGGGAAGCCAGGAGTCCGGAGCCTCTTCCTGGTCTTCCATGTGAATGCAGGGTCCCAAGGCTTTGAGCCATCCTCAGCTGCTTTCCCAGGCCACCAGCAGGGAGCTGGATGGGAAGTAGGACTGCCGGGATTAGAATCACATGTGGAATCCCAGCACATTCAAGGTGAGGACTTTAGCTGCTAGGCTACTGTGCTGGAGGCTATTTACTCTTTTTTTTCTTTTAATATTTATTTGTTTTTATTGGAAAGGCAGATGCACAGTACTTTATCCGCTACGCTATCACGCTGGGCCCTCAAACACCATTTTCTTTTTTTAAATTATTGATTACATTGTATTATGAGACACAGTTCCATAGGTACTGGGGTTCCCCCCAAGCCTCCCCCCATAGTGGACTCCTCCACCTTGTTGTGAGACCACAGTTCAAGTTCAGTTGAGACACCTTCATTGTAAGCATATACCAAGCATAGAGTCCAGCATTTTATTATCCAGATAAGTTCATCTGCTTCTTGGGGAGACCTTCCCTGGTCTGAAGGTAGGGCCAAGAGAGCAAGATCCTGATCAATTAAAAGCCCCAGCAGCAACAATATATATCGCTATGGAAATAATTGATATAGTGTTGAGTAAACAATATGTTAAAATTACATATAAGTTCTTAACAACCTCCTGCGACTATTTCAATGACATTTTAACAATTGAGGTGCATAACAGCTTTGGGGGGGAATGCAGAAAAATCTCTCATACCGTGGTGAGGAGTACTTGTTCTTTGTGTTCTACCTAGTAGGGCATGTGTGAGTCCATGATGACCAATCTTTCTTTGTTGTCAAACACCATTTTCTAAACAATCTACTTGATAGTGCCTGACATTTAAGTGTGTTGTATTACTATACAGATAGTTATGAATCTTTTTGGTTATCTGCATGTTGTGATATTGTGCTTCACTAAAATGTTTTCTTCAAAATATTGTAAAATGTTTTAATGGTCACTTTAAACTACATTTGGTGATGGAGAGGGACAGACTTGCCTTCAGAATAAATCAACTGCAGTATATGTAAATTGGAACTGGTGAATAACCTTTTCATTCGTGGGTAAAATATTTTTAACTAAGCATTTTTAGCAGGTTTTTTTTGTGTTTATTTGGATTATTTTTATTTTGGTTGTATATATGTAGTCTTGTATCTTCATTTAAAGTTACCCATATTGCTTATGTACTTATTTGCTCTTTCAGGTTTCTTTAGAAGCTTTCCACAGCTTTCCACAATCCCCCTTAGACCTACATACTTCTCAGATTTTTATTTTAGTACAGTATATATAGTATGTGTCTAAAGGTAGATATTTTGCTTTATATTATCAGCAGTAGTGATTTGGGGTTCAGAATCACAGTTGGATTCAAGAGAAAGAGTGAGTTTTATCGAAAACTAAGTTTACTTACCCTTAAAAAAATGTAGCGTAGAAAACAGCATACAATGTACAGACAGGATGCCAGGCATCTCATTCCTGATAGGTTTGTGGTCCTGAGGAACGTAAGCAGTTGAAGGATGGAGACTCGGTTGATTAAAAGCCAAGTCAGCTCTTATACCTCACTCAATTCTGCACTGTAGCAGTGTTAGCACCACTAGAATACTCAGATTACTGTATAGTACATCTCAGAAGCTTCATTTGTTTGCTAGTTGCCTAGTTCTTAACAGCATTTGATCTTTTGGATCTGTTTAAAAATCATTTACTTCCTTACAATAGAATTTAAGTTGGAAAATGACTTTTCATAGAGATGCCAAAACATCATGGGCACATGACTTCCTTTGAATTGTGAGTTATGAATCTGCTCTTCAACTAAAGTTAAATTTTCTAATCATGAGAAGAAAACTCTGAGATTAAAATTATCTGTTGCTCTTGATAAGAGAAAAAGCAGGACACTGCAAGAAAATTTTAATTTGAGAGTCTTAGTTGTTAGCTTTGCTTCATTAACATTTCATAAAATTTAGTTTAACATTTTAGAATTACATTGTGATACTTTTCAAAACATTGATTGGCTTGATATAGCATCCTGACCCATGATTCTATTTCTGTACTTCTCAGATCAAATAGCTGGATAAGATGAAGGTTAAATTCTGGGCTCAGTGAAAGTCTGCCGAGAAATTTGATTTCCAGTTACAGTTTGTTTCCTGGTACCCATGTCCTTTTTGTTTTTATTAAAGCTAAGAAAGAAGAAAAGAAAAGGCGTAAGTCATCGTCATCTTCCTCCTCGTCATCCAGTGACTCCGATAGCTCCAGTGATTCTCAGTCCTCTTCTGATTCTTCTGATTCTGAAAGTGCTTCTGAAGAGAAGTCAAAGAAAAGGAAAAAGAAACATCGGAAAAATTCCCGAAAACATAAGAAGGAAAAGAAGAAGCGAAAGAAAAGCAAGAAAAGGTCTTTTTTTTTTTAAAGATTTATTTTTATTATTTTGTTATTGGAAAGGCGGATATACAGAGAGGAGAGACAGAGAGGAAGATCTTCCGTCCAATGATTCACTCCCCAAGTGAGCGCAACGGCCAATGCTATGCCGATCCGAAGCCAGGAGCCTCTTCTGGGTCTCCCACGCGGGTGCAGGGTCCCAAAGCTTTGGGCCGTCCTCGACTGCTTTCCCGGGCCACAGGCAGGGAGCTGGAAGGGAAGCGGGGCTGCCAGGACTAGAACCGGCGCCCATATGGGATCCCGGGTGTGCTAGGCGAGGACCTTAACCACTTGCGCCACCACGCCGGGCCCTAGCAAGAAAAGGTCTTTAGTTTCATAGTACTTGGCTTTCTGTTGTGATTCCCCTCTGTTTATACAATAATTTATTGATGTTTTGGTTAATTAAAGTAGTAATATTTTATACCATGAACTATATCAATCAAGATTACATTCAATCATCTATAAATTAGATTTGGATACATAGATTTCTATTTTTGAAAAAGATTTATTGTATTATTTATATCAAAGGCTGATTTTTGCAGAGAGAGAAGGAGAGACAGAGTAAGAGTCTTTCATTCGCAGTTTATTTCTGTTTGAAAGGCGGATTTTTGCAGAGAAAAGGAGAGACAGAGAGTGGTCTTTTATGTGCTGGTTCATTCCCCAAATGGCCATAGTGGTCTCGGCTGAGCTTATCTGACCCTGGGAGCCTGGAACTTCTTCCCCATCTCCTATGTGTATACAGGATCCCAAGACCTTTGGCCATCTTTTACTGCTTTCTCAGGCCGTAAGCAGAGAGCTAGGTCAGAAGCCGGGCATCTAGGACATGAACCAGACCCATGTGGGATGCCAGCTCTTATACACAGAGGATTAACTTGCTGTGGCACCACATCTGGCCTTGTGGGTTTCCATTTTTTAAGAAAAAGCTTGGATTGTTTCGTGTTCAGTCAATGAATTTTAGCTGTGTATCCTCTGGAGTTAATGAGAATGTAGGAAACCAACAGTTTTCATTGTTTAATACACCAGGCTCTTTGACTTTATCTCTTATATAATGCATAAGAGTAGAAAACAGATAATTGACTATTGAGTTTCCCTTCCATTTTACTCAAAATAATCTGTGGCTAGACTAAAAATTAGTTTTATTTGCCAATTGCCAAAAAAGCAATTATTTTCTTTAATTTTTAAAATTTACCAGAGTGTTGAGTATAGTCTCATATTTTATTTAGTTTTAAAAATATGTTTGAAAGAATTATGTATGAAAGAGAGGAGGAGACAAGAGAGAGAAATCCTCCGATCATTGCTTCACTCCCTAGATGACCACAATGGCCATCACTAGGCCATGCTGAAACCATAAACTTCATCTGGGCTTCCCACGTAGTGGCAAGGGCCCAGACACTGTGCTCATCTTCAAATACGTGACTGTTAGTAGGGAATTAGATTGGAAGTGGAGCAACCAAAATACAAACAAACCAGTGTTCATATGAGAACACTAATATTGCAGTGAAACAGTGCCCACACCCAAGTCTCATATTTTAGAGCCATATTATGGAAAAATATGTATTTTAACCATGGCTGGTGCTGTAGCTCAATAGGTTAAGACTCTGCCTTTGGCATCAACATCCCATGTGAGCACCCATTCCAGTCCTGACTCTCTTTCAATCCAGCCCTTTGCAAATGTGCCTGGGAAAGCAGAATCCTACATCCTCATGGGAAACATGAGGGAAGCTACAGGTGGATGAAGTTCTCTTTCCTTTTCTTTTTGTAAATATCTCTTTCAAATATAAAAAAACTGGCCCAGTGTGATAGCGTAGTGGCTAAAGTCCTCACTTTGAATGCGCCAGGATCCCATATGGGCGCCAGTTCTAATCCCGGCAGCTCCACTTTCCATCCAGCTCCCTGCTGTGGTCTGCGAAAGCAGTCGAGGACGGCCCAAAGCTTTGGGATTCTGCGCCCTCATGGCAGACCTGGAAGAGCTCCTGGCTGCAGGCTTCAGACTGGCTCAGCTCCAGCCATTGCCACCGCTTGAGGAGTGAATCATTGGATGGAAGATATTCCTCTTTGTCTCTCATCCTCTCCGTTTATCTGACTGCAATAAAAATAAATAGATCGGGCTCAGCAGCACGGCCTAGCGGCTAAAGTCCTCGCCCTGAACGTGCCCGGAATCCCATATGGGTGCCGGTTCTAATCCTGGCAGCTCCACATCCAGCTCCCTGCTTGTGGCCTAGGAAAGTAGTCAACGATTGCCCAAAGCCTTGGGACCCTGTACCTGTGTGAGACCTGAAGGAGGTTCCTGGCTCCTGGCTTTGGATTGGCGCAGTAGCGGCTGTTGGTGGTCACTTGGGAGCTAACCATCAGACAGAAGATCTTCCTCTCTGTCTCGCCTCCTCTCTGCATTTCTGACTTTCCAATAAAAATAAATAAATCTTAATAAATAAATAAATCTTTTAAATATATGTACATATAAACAAATAAATCATAACATAAATAGAAATATTTTATTTGAAAATTTGATTGGTCAGTTTTTCAGGAATGGAATTAAATTTTGTCCATGTGTTCACATATTTAGGAAGGAGAGGGCAATATATATTATCACATAAAATAAAAACTAAAAATTTGTATTTTGAGTATGTACATAATAACCAAATATAATTTGTTTTCTGTATTTCTCTTAAGTGCATCTAGTGAGAGTGAGGCTGAGAATCTTGAAGTACAGCCTCAATCTACCGTTCGTCCAGAAGAGATCCCTCCTATACCAGAGAACAGATTCCTAATGAGAAAAAGTCCTCCTAAAGTGGATGACAAGGAAAGGAAGAACAGAGAGAGAGAAAGAGAGAGAGAGTGGTATGTATGTTTGTTTCATAGCATCCTCTACATGGTTTTACGATAGGAGCTTTTCTCATTGTCATGAATTTTCACTTAGTTTTACTTCATGCTTTTGTAAAATTTTTTTAGCATGTTGTTAGGAAAACTCCCATTTGGTAACCATATATAAAACTAGAAAGATAAAGAGACTTAAATTACCAGCAGATTCTGAGTAAAATTTACTTTATAAAATAGTAGCCAGTATAAATGGGGAATAACATGTTAGGTGGCACTTCAAATAATTAACAAAGTATTATGAAGCCAATAAACGAACTTAGGGTTTGGCTATGTTATCAATATACATTAACGTTAAGCTTTTGAAAATTTTTAAATAGAAAGATATCTTCTTTTTCTTACCAGATTTATAGTGTATGATAATTAAAACTGATATGTTCAACTACTTTAAAATTTTTGTAGAAAAATCCATAGTAATCAATACTTCTGTTGGTTATTTTTAAATAGTTGTAATGATGTACAAAATTTAAAAAATAGTCAGTCTTTCTCAGTTATGAATTGTCAGTCTGTATGAATGGCAGTGTTGTAAACAATGGCTTAATACACTGTGCCATAATTTCATAATTTCACCCTAAGTTGATTGTATTTTTCTGCTGGTAGCAGAAGAGATATTTCTGAGGAAATAGAGAAACTTTTTCAACTATACTAGAGTGAGCTTTTGTGAATGTAGTAATTATTACTTCATATCACTGTTTGAAAAGATCATTTCCCTTTTATATTATGTACATTTCCTAATTCACACAAGTTTATCTCTGTGATTCACATTACTTAATTTCTCTAGTTCTGTTACCAATGAACAACTCTTTATACGATAATAAAGCACTTTGGAATAAGATAGTTTAAAATTGTTCCTGAATAGCATGTATCCGTTGCTGAACTTTTCTGTGATTTTCTTTGACATTATCTGTTAGCTTCATCTTGGAAATGAGTACCCACAGTGTCCCTTTACCAAGTCATAATGGGCATTTTTCAGCAAGATCAACCTTCCTCCTGACACATTAAAAGACTCCCACTTTCGGCTACTCATTGGCACCTGAAGAAGTATTCCAACACTTAAGACAGATAATTACTAGCAACTGAACATTTTGGATTGAGAATTACTGATTAATATTATTTATTTTGAATTTATTTACATTCAGTAAGTCTGTATTCTGCAGATTCAGTTTTATAAAGTCAATATGTGTTAACTTTCTTTTGGTTCCTTCTAGCAACCTACCTAACTCCCAGCCTGCTTCGTATCAGAGACGACTTTTAGTTACTAGGTCTGGCAGAAAAATTAAAGGAAGAGGACCAAGGGTAGGTGATTTTTTTCCTCCCAGAAATTCTAACAATATTGAATTTATCTTCCTTAAGTAAGTGAAAAGTATTATAGATTTTGTTTTACTGGACAAGTTCCTAAGATTAGGCTGTTGTTACAGCAAGAGTGAAGAATATCTGACCCCCATAATATGTGTAAGACCTAGAAATCATGTGGGCTGGCCCTGCCAGAAAACCACAGTTGGGAGTCAGAATTCCATAAACCTATAGCAGGCTTGTTAATAATTTTGTGTGGCTCGTGAATGATGTTACAAATATCTAAACAGACCTTACTTAGCATAACAAAGTTTCCCCACTTCTGCTTTATAAAAACATTTATGTGTTGAGAACCATAATATATAAATGGGTTTATTTTACATATGAATTGTATAAAAGATGTTTAAATTTTATGCCCACTGTCTTGTGTTTTCAGAACTTTAGAGACTTCATTGTATTTCCTAAGTTACTCTTTCACTTCTTATTCTGCAAGGATTTCAGTATCTTCTTATCCTCATTATTTTACTTAAAAATACTGTTTTCATTGTGGTCAGCTCCATATCACAAAATCCAATGTATCTTTCATAATGTTATAGTTAATCTGCCTGTTTGTAACATTCTCTCCTTGTTGCTTTCATCATTTTCTTCTTTAAGCTTAAAGTTGTAGTTCATAGTATCCAATCTGACCAAGAAAATATTATAGTACTTAAGGGTTCCAACTCTTCACACTTGCTCCTTGGACAATTCTGATTACTGTTACGGCTGGCTGTTCAGTACCTTGTGCTGTTCTTGGCACACCTTCAGCCTGGCCTATTAGTTGAGCATAAACAGTTTGTCTTCACATCCAATCCTATTTCAGAGACACGTTTTCTCTCAGTAGCTCCTACCACCTGTTCAGTTCTTATGCCTAAAGCCTAAGAGTCATTTTAATTCTCCTTAATTCAGACTTCATATATCCCATTCATTCCCAAGTCCTGTCAATTTTATCTCTTAGTACTTTGAATTCATGTGCTTCTTTTAAGCTTTATTCTTGCCTTATTAGTTCTGTTCACTTTGTCTAATCTATAAATGGCTTCCTAGCTTGTGTTTTGCTAATTCTCAGATGTTTGAACTAAGATCTTCTTCACAAAGGTAAAAATTATTGAAGACCCACAAGAGCTTTATTAGGTTGTATCTATCAGTATTTATTCTTTTAGAGATTAAGATGAGGAGTAAGATCTTCCTGTCTCTACTCTCTGTATAGCTGACTTTGCAATAAAAATGAATAAATCTTTTTTTAAAAAAAGGTGAAGAGTATTTAAAGCACAGGCATATATAGGAACATATTCTAATGGCTATGAGAGCAATCGCATCAAAAACATGTAGTCTCCAAATAATTCCACTGTGTGCTAATGAAAGGGTAAAAGTACAAAAAACAAGTAATTATTTTTTAAGTAGTTGACCTCCTAGGATCACAGCTTGAGAATCACTGAACTAATCCTTTTTCTTCCTTTTCTTTTTAAAAGAGTTATTGATTTAAAAGGAAAAGTTACAAAGAGGAAGAGTGACAGATTGTTAATCTGTTGGCTCACTGCCCAAATGACTGCATCTGTCTGGGGCTTGAGCAGGTCACAGTGAGGAACCAGGTGTTTCTTCTGATTCTCCATGTGGATGCTGGGGCTTAAGCACTTTTGCCATCTTGGCTGCTTTCCAAGGCACACTAATAGGGAGCTGGACCAGCATTAGATCTTGAACTGCTTCCCTTATGGGATGTGGCAGGCAGGCTTTACCTAATATGCCACAACACTGGCCTCTAGTCTTTTTGTTTTGTTTTGTTTTTTTAAGCAGTAACCAAAAGGTACCATTTGAAAATAAAAATCTAGGAGCTGGCATTGTGGAATAGTGGAATAGGGTAAAGTTACCACCTCTGATGCCAACATCCCATTTGGGGGCCAGTTCAAGTCCCAGTGGCAGATATATTCAGGGGAAGAACTGGAGGAAGTTCCTCCCTCCTGGCTTTGGTCTCACCCAGCTCTGTCTGTTGCAGCCATTTGGGAATGAACCGGTGGATGGAAGATCTCTCTTTCTTTTCTACTAATGCTGTCTTTCAAATAAGTAAATTTAAAAGAAAATCTGGTTATATCCTTCCTTTAACATGTATATTAAGACAAATCCAAAAGCATTAAACTAGCCTACAAGATCTCAACTTAGTTCAGCTTCATTAGTATTGTCAAACATTGTGTTCCTTGACGATTCTTGACTTTTGCTACAGTTAATCTGTTCTCTAATAATTTCTGAAACATTCTGTTTCTTCTGCCTTACCAATGTTGCTCCTTGCTAATTCATCCTTATCTTCTTGCCCTCTGGGTAACTCATGAACATTTTTGTGGGCTCCTTTTTTGGTTTAGCTATTCATACTGCCGTACCAGACCAGATCTCTTTGCTTTATATTCTGTGAGAATCTCTTCTTACACATTCATTCTTTTTTAGCTGTACCTGTGTTTAATATCAGTGATTATCTATCCATGTATGTGTTCTCCTACCACATGGAATACAGTTTGAGGAAAGCAAAGTCAGATATTTCTTGGCTCTAATGTTCTGCAGTATATGGTTAGCCATCTCAAAGGCTGAGTAAATTTTAGCTGAATAAATGAGCATCTGCAAATTTACTGTTTTTCTCATGTGGGAAACATCAGACAAACGCACATACTCAAAACACAAACATGTATTAATTAGAAATTGGCAACTTTAAAGAGTTTTATATCTTGTATGTATGATTTAGCCAACACTTGGATAAGACAGGGCTCTTACATGGTAAAATATAAGTGGCTAAAGTTTCCATGGTTAATGTTTCTTATTTGGAGTCTGTAGTATTACTGCTTAAAATGTTTTATTAATTTCCTATTTGTACATTGAAAAATTTTCAAGGACATAGAAATATCAGTTATTTGGGTCTAGAAGTATAGACTTTAATATTTTTGTACATTAATTTTTTTCTCTTTTTTATTTTTTTAAGCGTTATCGAACTCCTTCCAGATCCAGATCCAGGGATCGTTTCAGACGTAGTGAGACTCCTCCACATTGGAGGCAAGAGATGCAGAGAGCTCAAAGAATGAGAGTATCAAGTGGTGAAAGATGGATCAAAGGGGATAAGTAAGATTTAAGTATATTACTTTTAAATATTGTGATAAGTATATTTTTTCCAGTGTGCATAGTGGCTTTTTAAATTGCCACTTTAATTATATCTGTGCCTATAGACAAATAGATTATTATTTTAGCTGAAACATAACATTTTTCTTTTACCTAGCAACATTTCTGAAAATATTTTTCCCTTATGTTTTAGGAGTGAGTTGAATGAAATAAAAGAAAATCAAAGAAGCCCAATTAGAGTCAAAGAGAGAAAAGTAATTGATCACAGGCATGTGTCTGAGAGTCCAAACAGAAAAAATGAAAAGGAAAAGAAAGCTAAAGAACATAAATCTAACAGCAAAGAGAGAGACATCAGAAAAAACTCAGAAAAAGATGAAAAGTATAATAAAAATAAAGTGAAGAAAAGGGCGAAATCTAAAAGTAGGAGTAAGAGCAAAGAGAAATCAAAGAGTAAGGAAAGAGAGTCAAAACATAATAGACACGAGGAAAAGAAGGTGAGATCAAGGAGTAAAGACAGAGATCATGAGATTGTTAAAGAAAAAGAAAAGCAGTCTGATTCTAAAGGAAAAGACCCAGAAAGGAGTAGAAGCAAAGAGAAGTCTAAACAATTAGAATCCAAAAGTAATGAGCATGATCATAATAAAAATAAGGAAAAAGATAGACGTGCACACTCAAAGAGTAGAGAACGAGATATAACTAAGAGTAAACACAGTTACAATAGCAGAACAAGAGAACGGAGCAGAAGCAAGGACAGGAGCAGAAGAGTGCGATCCAGAAGCCGGGACAGAGACAGAGATCGTAGCAGAAGCAAGGAGTACCATAGATACAGAGAACAGGAGTACAGGAGAAGAGGGAGGTCACGCAGCCGTGAGAGACGAACTACACCTGGAAGATCTAGAAGTAAAGACAGGAGGAGGAGGAGGAGAGACTCCCGGAGTTCAGAGAGAGAAGAAAGTCAAAACAGGAACAGAGAAAAATACAGAAACCAGGAGAGTAAGAGTTCACACAGAAAAGAGAATTTTGAGGGTGAGAAAAGAATGTACTCAAAAAATCGTGATCATAATAGTTCAAATAACAGGGAAAAAAAAGCTGACAGAGATCAAAGTCCGTTCTCAAAAATGAAACAAAGCAGTCAGGACAATGAATTAAAGTCTTCTACATCAAAAACTAAGGAGGATGACAAGACCAGCTCCTCGGCAGAAAAAGAATACCAAAAATCAAAGGGTCAAGAAAATGATCATGTACATGATAAAAATAAAAAATTTGATCATGACTCAAGCCCTGGAACAGATGAAGACAAAAGTGGATGAGTGAGTTCTGTAAACTTACTTCATTTTTTGTCTCAAATTTTAAGTTTTACAGACTTCCTGGTGAATCTCCTTTATGTTTTGTTTTCATTGTTTTTTGGGTTGTTTATGTTTGTCTTTTTTTTTTAATGTGGACTTCATTAAGTTGATCTTTTGATAATCTGTACCTGGATAATTTGTACTGCTAAAGTTTTAATAAACTTGAAATGAGAAAAACACTTTGGAGTAATACTGTGTGCTGTGTTAAACTCTTTTATGTATGCATTTTTGTGTTGCACCATCCAACCAGTAGCATTCCTATTTCTTTAATCATCTACTTGGAAACAGGCTTAATGATCATTGCAATACGTTGTCAACAGAAGTTCTTAGTTTTCATGATTAGTAATTTAGAACCTATCAATTAAAAATCTTCTATGGATTTTTCTGTTTGCATTTATAATGGCGAGTTGCAGCAATTTCTTTTAATTATACAGGAACAGGATTTTGTTGAGATCTTAAATATTTTTTTGATTCAACAGTAATTTGTGCTTTAAATAGATATTATGGCGCTTTATACCTTATTCTTTATGGTTTCAGCCTTGTCCATTTCATAGGAATACTTTTCCTGTCTGGTTTTGTTTTACTTAACTCATTTAAAATCAAAGAGGTGGGGGGGGGGGGGGTGGTGTGGGGAGCACCAGGGTGGGTGGGGATCGGTGGACTTGGGGACAGCGTGGTCTGGAATGGATGTCTCGGGGTGTATAACATGTGTGGGGTATGCCGGTAGGCGATGGGACCTTGGGGGGAGCGGACCGTGTTATGGGAAGATTAGGGTGGTGGGGTGGGGAGTGAGGATGTTTTTTGGTTTTTGTCGGGGGAGGTTAGTTTATGGACTCGATAGGGGGATGGGTATGGGTTGGGTGTGTTGTGGCGTTGTTGTGGGTGGTGTTGGGTATTTTGGTTAGGAGTATGTAGCGTGGGTGGTGGGACTGTTCCGACGTTTGGAGTAGGGGGATGGGGGGGGTTTGCGGCTGGTGGAGGGGGGGGGCGGGGGGTGGGGGGCGGGCTTGGGGTTGTTGTCGTATAGAGCGATGACGGGGGTGGGCTTTTGGGCCGTTTGCGGCGGTTTTGGACCTCCTGGGCGTCGAGTGTAGGCGGGTACTTGTTTGGCATGGTGCTGAGTTAGATGATTACGAACGTGTTTTCAGCCATTATTGTCCCCCCCCCCCCCCCCCCCCCCCCCACCCCCCCCCCCCCCCCACCCCCCCGCCCCCCCCACCCCCCCCCACCCCCCCCCCCCCCCCCCCCCCCCCCCCCCCCCCCCCCCCCCCCCCCACCCCCCCCCCCCACCCCCACCCACCCCCCCCCCCCCCCCAATACCCAATTACAATCCCTGTCCCCCCCCCACCCTCCGCCAGTAACATTTCCATATAGAATAGAAAATTGCAAAAATTTGACAAGTTACAAAGTAAACATATCCAAAATCTATTCGAATGTGCATTGTATTTTGCAATTTTTGTGATGTGTTTCTGTAATATCTCTACTAAATAAAACATTGGACGTCCAACAAACACAAAACCTGCCTCATTTGAGAAGAATTTTCAAAATTCTGATTACTGTAGCCTCTTAAGTTTTATACTTTAATACTTGTCAATATAGAAATCACTCTACTACCACGTTGGTTTCTGGATAAATCAATAGCCATTCCAATGCTATTTGTACTGACTGAATAAAACAATGTTTAACTTGATATTTCCCAGTAGATTAATACAACAGTGCTACTTTTGGGTTATAAATTTGGAATACCTGGAAACAAATATCCACAGTGTATTTTTCCCCTAATGATAAAACTAGATGTTTATTAATAATCCAGGGTGATTTATTCCTTAGAGGATGATCAGAAACCTGTGTTTGTGATCATTTGACTCTTAGTGCCCAACCTGTATAATCCATTGTGTTGTTTAATCAAAATATTTTGTCCTATGTTCAGTGAATTGCTTTCAAGATCTGTTAAAAAATTATTCAGATTTCAAGAAAGATATAATCAAAGGAAGGATTTCTAATAAGTGATGCCTACATATATTTTTAAGACCATGGTAGGGAAACATACTTCTGTGTTTTCTGATCCCACAGTTTTATCTCATGTTTGGATAATCAGAGGAGCAACTCCATATTAAGTATTATTTATTTGCCTTCCCCACCCTCCACGCCCCCCTGACACATCTCCTAGCCTTGTTAGCTGCTTTGGCAAGTGAGGTGGTGAAGGAGTTGAAGTGAGAGTGGACAATCAACTGGATTTTATTGTTAGAATGATAAGGAATCTTAATTGAGCAGCACTAACCTCAACTCTTCGCATTGGAATAATACACAGCTCAAAATGGCCCTTTTCTTAATTTTTTTTGTTTATGCCATCTTTAATTTGTACTTTCAACATTGTTTCCTAAGAGTCAGCTATTGCATTTTCCCCACCAAATTAATTTAACTTTCATATCTGAGATTACATAGTTCACTTCAAAATAACTTTGGCTTGAAATCCTTTAAAGATGCATATATGTGTGTTTTGATTGGTGATTAACTGAAAATGTCTTCACTATGTGGGATTGCGATGTTTATATGAATCACATTTCTGGGTTAGCAGTCTACACAGGGATTGACAATAGAGAAACTGTTAAATATGCAGTAGAGAGGCTATTGGGTTCTAGAATATTCTTAAATTACTCTAGTTGTAATTCATAGAGCATTGCCATTTCTTTTAGGTTACTTAACTGATTCCCTCAAAATTTGCAAATAATTGCTTTGATAAATCCTTTTTTGTGTGTGATTCTAGTATATGTTGGCATTGCTAATGGCCTTTGATTTTTGTGCTCAGTGGAAGATGTACAAAACCAGTGAAGATTTCTTTCTGTTATTAGTAGGCAGACATTGAGTTTATTAATAGTGGTGTCAACAAATAATTCAAATGTATTTGTTAGTTAGCATTTAGAGCAAGTCTGTGTATCTTTTAGTACTTTATTGTACTTTGGTCCAGATGGCAATAGTTTTCATCATACTGAGATTTTTATATTAAATTTCTGTAGAAATTTGTTGAGTTTGCCTTCATTAAAAGGTACTTTATGTATGTCCCATATAATTGTTTTAAAGAAAGAAAATAGGTATTTTTCTGTCTACCTTTAATTTTGTTTACTGTTGCTACTCTACTTTGGAATCATACTTTGACAATTGAAAAAACTTCATGGACTGTAGGCTGATAACCTATTTATTGTAAAAAGTTGCGCTTTGTTACAAATATTTACAGGATTAGTAGAGTAAGCAAAAAGAAGTGCATCTTTAGCTGGCTGCCATCTTTAGTGGTCTTCCCAGCTGCATCAAAGGGAGTGAGACAAGTGAAAATTCACTGGCCTGTTGTGTGACAAGGTATGAAGTATTAAAGGAAAAGGAAAGCAAGTCATAATTAGAAATCCCATAAGCAGGGTTCAGAGGAAGTCGTGGGATTTTTTTGTTACAGGAGGAGTGAAGTAGTTCAGGGGTTGAGACTTTTTTTTTAAAAGCAAGTTTCGTTTTTCTAAAACCACATGCTCTGTGTTCCCCTTTTGTGTGATTAATGAATTGGGCATTTCCATGTGGGGATATTCAATGTTGTGGCTGCTCTCTGTGAAAGGAGAAAATAGTGAAGTTAATGCACTTCTTTTCATAGCTCAGAAGTCACTGTGATGTATATTTTTTTAATGAAATTTACAAGTAAAATTGTTGTCTTCTCAATTGTAAAACTAGCTTCAAAATGCTGCTTCTCTATTAGTTTAGTAACTGTTGAACTGTTTTCTGCATTTTACAAACTTTAAACTTCAAAACTGTATTAATTTTTATAGTTAAACATTGTATTAAATAAACTATGCTCTGTCAACAGATTGCTTTTGTATTTTTTAAAGTGTTACTAGTTTTTTGACCCTTATTTTTATTGAAAATCAGATAATGAAAATAAACCAACTGAAATACTTCTATCTTACCCATGGGGATGAAAGTTACATTTATTATGAGAAAGCTGAACAAAGAGAATATTGGATTTCTTTAAAAGTTCAGCTGTTGGCCACAGTGACAATGTTCAGGTTTAAGAATGTTTAGTATAAATGTATAGTTTTAATGCTTCAGATTGCACAGTGTCTTTTGGGTACACACACTTTTAAGGTTAATCTTAAGGAGTCTACATTACTATCTAGTAGAATACCACTTTTTCTCAGCATTGAGTAGACTAATATATTCTGTGCTTGTCAGTTTTAATATGTATAATTGTGAGGCCATATACAAATTTAATTTTGTAAAACCTTTTGTTTCACTTAAATTAGACATTTAGGGGGAAATTTGCCTAGTTAACTTGAAAGTTAAAACACACAGTGAGGATATAACATTCTGAACAATCGGGTTTGCATGTGTTAACAGGTAAGTAAGAGCACTAAACTCCTGCCATCTGGAGTGCCAGTGTGAGTGTTGCATAGGAGCTGTACAAACTATTAAATATTAAAATACTTTTGAAATCAAATTTGCCTTTTCTGATAACCTCCCATATTTCTTTTGCTAAAGCTATAACTGTTGATAATGATTTTTACGCTTTTTCTAAGGATTTATTTATTTTTATAGGAAAGTCAGATATACAAAGAGGAGAGACAGAGAGGAAGATCTTCGATCCACTGGTTTCACTCACCAAGTGACCGCAACGGCAAGTACTGCGCTGATCCGAAGCAAGGAACCAGGAAACTCCTCCAGGTCTCCCATGCACCTGCAGGGTCCCAAGGCTTTGTGGCCAAACTTGACTGCTTTCCTAGGCCACAAGCAGGGAGCTGAATGGCAAGTGGAGCAGCCAGGATTAGAACCGGCACGTATATGGGATCCTGGCATGTTCAAGGTGAGGACTTTAGCTGCTAGGCCACAGCGCCGGGCCCTATACCTTTTGTTAGTATTCAAGACACCTTGTTTTCACAGTTTGCCTTCAGAGTGATTTTATATACAGGTATCTTGCCAAACTGCCACATCACAACAGTTGGGTTTTTGCTTTGTGTGATGTACTACTATGTTTTTTTCACTGAATTGTTTTGTGATTAATCTTAATTTTGTTTTTAATGTGCTCAACGTTAGAAAGCCTAGCCCAGTTATAACTAAAGTTATGTAGTTAAGGACAAAATGCTAGTTACTTGTGTGTGTGTTTTCTCCCCTTATGATTTATTTTGTATTTCAAAGTCAGTTATTG